CAACCTTGAACAATCCAAGTAAGATACCTCTAAACCTTGTCGAAAAATATAATTTTAGTGCTCGAAATTTTAATAAGGACCTGTAAGAGATTGTAAATCTATTTATAAAATTAAAAACTTAAAAAACAATGCAGGTTGAGCACATCTACAAAGACGTGAAAGTATTAAAAATGGACAATCTACATAATATGTTACAAGATGCATCATTTTTAAGACTTTAAATTATTTATTTATTTGGACATCCCTACATCTTAAGGTTGAGATGATAATTGGATGGTTTTCCAACATCATAACAACTTTTTTTTATGGATCTTTTAGATGTGCCTTACTTCTATAGTATAAGGTTGACACCTTATATAAACTTTTCCGTGTGCGTATATGTATAAACACACACACTCACAAAGGAAAGAAAAACCATAACGAGTTCCTTATTTTAATTGGAAAACCCTACTTGAACCCATGTCATGGAAAATGGCAACACCTACTTTCAGTCACCTTCTGAAAAATATAATGGATACAGCTCTTTTTCATTTTTCTTGCTATAAGTTACAATGACTTCTTTTTATGAGAAACGCTACAAATAAAATGATTAGAACGGGTTTCTTTCCTGGGAAACCCAATTGTAACAAGAATTGAGTATTGTGTATCTGATGTTCTTTAAAAATGGAAGCAATTCATTTTCACTTACCTGCTGAAAAAGCCCGAGGTGAGCTGCCTTCAACTAGCACGCACTTGACTGCAGGATCAGAAGCCCACTTGTCGAGGTACTCAGTGTACTTTAAGTCCATTTCTAAGAAAAAATAGGAACTTATGGATTATAATTATGAAACACTCCAAAAATGGATTACAGCTATGAATATAAAAAGTAATGATAAGAAAAAATGCTTAAATGGAGAGTCTCGATCAACAACAAAGAAAATCAAATAACAATAATATTACTTGGGGTAGTGACATGTAAATAGACAGCATGATTTACTAACAAATAGAAAGTAAAGAAATAAGAAATTTAACCCGTTATGAGGAAACACTGCATCCCAAGTTGAAATACTGCCGCTCTTTTTTATGATAAGTAACTTTGAATAATTACTACTAAACTACTCGGATATGTATATAAAGATTAAAATCTCATGTAATCCAAGGCAGAGAGTAACCGATCACAGGCACATGCGGAGGAAACTGAAAGTGTCACATGTCACATATTATATAAATTATTGTCCATGGGTGATATGCTATTGAGAAAGACATGGCATGCGATGTTGTCAATGATGGTGTAAAATCACTACTGTGTGATTTGGGAAACCCAACTCCATTAACGGAATCCATATTGTTATGTGTGTTTGTGTGAGAGAGAAAGACTCAAATACTTCACATACAGGCTTTATGTTTCTATGGATACATAGATATATAGAAAAACCCAACTTGAATGTGAAGAGTTCATGCTTTCTGAGGTGTGTGCGTCTGTGCGTGTGTGTGCGAGATATAGAGAGAGAGAGAGAGAGACCCAATTCAGATGGGTAGCATTCATGGTATCAAGGGAGAGACATAGAGAGAGAAAGATCCAATTCTGGCATTCAATCATGATTGTTGAGAGAAGCCCAAATGAAATTTATAGGATCCATGTTCATTCCAAAAAGTAATGCATCAGAGTAACTCGTGTCTCTTAAGAGAAAGATGGAAGAGCGAGAGAGAGATTGATAGCATTCATGCTTGGAGAGAGAGCAATACACACACTCAACTCAGATGCACAGTAAGCCATTTCTGCTAAGTTCGAGAGAGAGAGAGAAGTGTACACAGTTCATGATTGTTAATCAAGAGAGAGAGAGACATATACCAAGGTTCATGGCGTTGAGGGCCTTGGGTCGATCAAGAGTGATGATAGCGACTCCATTAGGAAACACATTCCCCTTCACAAAATCCTGAGATTCAGCCATTATGGACAAAGGACGATAATGAGTTCTGAATGAGTTGGGGTTTCGCAGAGTTATGGTCTTCGGGTTAGCAGAAGGAGACCTATTCAGTGCGAGATTACAGAGAATGGAGCAGCGGTCTTGTGAAGAGTAGAGAGAGAAAGAGCGAGAGTAGAGAGGGAGAGTGCAGAGCCCTTTCGGCAAGCGGAGCAATCGCATGTTTTGGGTTTCTTCGGGGCGCAAGAGGAATCAGTGAGACGAAAAACGTTCGTAGAGCGTTGGGGCCCTGGGCCGGGTGGCATGGACCCTGACCAGACCAGGTCCGGGTCTGGGTCCGAGTCTAAACCTTGGACCCAAATAATACTCAGGTCCGGTCCAGGTCTATGCAAACCCAACTTAGACCTCCGGACCCAAATAGAGTTAATATTTAAATATTATTTATTTAGTTATAGTATTAAATATAATATATTTATGTATTATATTAAAAAAACAAATTTACGAAACCTTCACACACCCTTATGTGTAAGACATCATAAGATCACCATTAAATTTGATACATATTTCTAAAAAAAAGTAGTTTAACCACTTCTTTAAATATCTGGATGAAATTTAATAATGATCTTTTAAAACCCTATTTCGACCCTTGCGTTAGGAGTGGGACCACTCTTTTCGCCAGGCCTCACCCTCGGGCCACGTTTTGTGGCTATGCACTAGTTTTTTCGGAGTGGGCCTAACGGGGCGGGTTGGGTCATCAGCCCAGTGCCACCATTAATATTGCAAAATCTTCTTCGTCGCTCTCTCCCTACAATTAAGTCCAAATATCCATCCTCTGTTCGTATCGCTGATTTTTAGCGCGAATCGTTCAACCACGTAACTTTGGCACTGGTAATCCGGATGAGGTATTAAGTCATGAGGCGAAAGATAATAAATTAGTATAAGGTTTATGGGGTAAGGGATTCGAACATGTACTCTTGCATGAGCTACCTGAGCCTTTGACCGTCACATAGCACCATTAAAATAAATTAAATAAATAAAAAATTAGTGTAGGGTTTATGGGGTAAGGATTTAGATGGGAACTAAAAAAGCATTCAATTAGCTTAAAAAAAACAAAAACAAAAAAAACACATGATGGGGGTTTTAGGAGAACGTGTACCATCCTAGAATTGAGCAAGTCCCAACTAATTCCCATTTAAATTAACGATCCAGATTGAAAATCGTCAAGTTTTAAGCCAATATTTCAAACCTCCTAGGGTGTGTTTGTTTTGGAGGAGCTTATTTCTCCATAACAATTAAGTCCCTAACACTTAGCAATCTCGTGTTTGGCACACATGAAGTGCTATAGTATCCGGAACTTATTGGATATATATATATATATATATATATATCACACTAGATAATATATTTCCGTATAATATAATGTTATAAAACTGTTAGTATAGCAAAAGTTTATATACAGCCTTGGCTCTAAACAATCAAATTAGAGCCTGCCTCAAAATTTATATTAAAAGAGGTTGTTTTGATACCCAAAAACCCTCAAATTGATCTTCTCGATATCAAGATGCATGGACATAAAAAAAAATAGATTTCAAGTTTTGGAAATAGTATATTTTGTTATGCATTTTTTGACCGTCAATTTTCAAGATTTTTAAGTTTTCATATATCTATTGATCTACACTATTTTTTAAGCTTTAAACTTTATAAATAAAGATGAAAATATATTTGAAGGCTATCACAAAGATTTCCAGTGTTGAAACCACATTTCTCAACACTATTTGAAGGTAGGCTCTAATTTGATTGTTTAGAGCCTAGGCTCTACACAAACCACACCCATTAGTATAATAACATAATTATATTATATATTATTTATACTAAATATATTTATATTATTTATTATATATAACTATATATTAAACATATATATAATAATATAATAATATTATTATTTTATGAGTAATGTTCCTATGAGACCCTCTACACCCATATGAGTAGGATCGCAAATGACCACCATCAAATTTGGCACATATCTCTACAAAAATAAGTCCCACACCCATGTGATAACTTCTCTATATGTATGTGCAAAATTTAATGGTAATCTTTTGGGGTCCTCCTTATATGGGTGTAAGAGGGTCTCATAGTGTTATTCTTCATATTTTATACTATGAAAAAGTTTATATAAGGCTGCAATCTTAAAATGTAGAACCCGGATGCACCTAAAAAATCCATCGGAAAATATTATTTTAAAGTTTAAAAACCCTCTAATTTAGCATCTCGACATCGAGATGTATGATTATGAAAGAAAAAATGACTTTGAGTCCCATAAATAGAGCGTTTTACAATACATTATCTAGACCATCCATTTTTAAAATTTTTCATATGTTTATAGATCTACTTGATTTAAATCATTTTTTGAGTTTAAAATTTTATAATTAGATATGAAAATAGATTTTGAGATAATCCTAAGAATATTTTACATCAAAATTATATGTTATGATCAAATTTGAAGGTGCGCCTTAATTGGATTGTTTAAGGTCGCAACCTTATGGAAACCACACCTTTTATATTATGGGAAATGTTTATATACTTTCCCTACAACATAGAAGATCTATTTTTCTCCTACCGTCCAATTTTGATCAAGAGAGCCACTCACCGTTTGATCTTAGATCTGACATATCAAAGTATTTTATTTTTAGTTTTGTTCTACAAATTTTATGAATATGAAATTTGGTACATGTCAACTTCTCATCGGGGCGCACCTAAAAAAAAATAAAAATAAAAATAATTTTTAATAAAATATAATGACCAAAATACCCCTTAAAAATTTTAGGGGTATTTTAGTCATTTAATTTTATTAAAAATATTTTTTTTATATTTTTTGCTAGTGCGAGTTTAATAGAGGACTGGACGTCCAAAATTTGGTGTCAAAATAGTTTATAGAAAAATAATTAAAAATAAAATAGTGTAAAGACATGACATTGTGATTGGGGCAATCTTAACCCTCTATTCAAAATGGACGGTTGGATAAGAGGAAGTATACAAGTTTTATGCTGCAGGGAAACATAGAAAACTTGCCCTTATATTATTATGTATTATATGACATTACATAATATATATCAATATAGTATAATATTATAATATTATCTATAATAGTAGTATTAACAATATAATATATTATATATTTATTATATAATATATTTAATACATATATATTTTTCAACAGTTCTGCAGGTAATCAAACATAGTACTCTGAATTCTCGTAACATTCCAACAGGTTATCAAATACCGTAACTATAATTTATTTAAACATTTCAGAACAAATAAGTACACTTTCCAATGAATAATAACTTATTTTTTCTAAGGAAAGTTTATCTTCTAGCAAACAAAAGTTTCCCTAGAGTCCTAACCTAATAAGTGAATTGCATATTTGGAACAACAAATTAGATTGATTATTATTGCGCTAGAAGTAGTCTAAAAAATAAAAATAAAAATATTAAAAATATATAATGGATGTGAACTGAGTGACTCATCAATCCAAAATTGGTCATCTGAAATTGAATCCCGATTCTCCATCCAAATCAGCAAATCCTAATCCGAATCTCCATTCTCTTACACACTAGTATAAACTACAGACTATATAAAATATCGCTTGCCAAACGCAGGTTTATTCCTCGCCTAACCTATAAAAAAAATGGCTTAAGAATGGCATAACCACTGAACAAAATGGATTAGTAATGGCCTGGTGATCAGGGGCTATCAATTATTTAATATTTTTATGAGTTTCAAACATTTCAATTAGCTCGTATACGTTTCAATATGATTTTGAACAAGGTTCTGAAACTCGGCTCAGCCAACCAAGGGACTCAGACCTTGGCCAAGCATAATTATTCGGTGGAATTCAAGTGGACCCGCAGAGTCTTGCACATGGCTAAAAAAAAATAGAAAATATCTGAAAAATAAAGAAAAATGGAGACAAAATAAAATAAAGTAAAGAACAACTTTAAAATTTTAAAACAAGCTTTACGAAGTAGAGAGAAAATGGATTTAAAAAAAAAAAAACTGATTTACAGCTTAGTACACTTTAAAAAATTTTAAAACATAGAAAATATACAAATAAGGACTATGGCACAAGATACTCATCAATCTTTGCCAAAAGATACCAAAATCATATAAAAAGTATCATATACCATTTCTACTTCTTTTAAATAATAATTTTTAAAATATTTTTTATATGCCACGAGGCTACTCAGACTAGCATTGGGTTCCATGACCTTGTTTTTGAAATTAAATCAAAAGATATGAGTAAAACACGTAATAGTTAATCCCTTTGATATATCTTAATAATTTTTTTTCAAACAATTTTAATAAAAATAATAAATATTAGTAAAATTATTGACCACTTCAAAAGGTAATACAAAAAGCATGATCACTGTCAGTTGCACAACGAGTGGTTACTTTACTGGATTTTATTTTTCTTTTGTAAAAATACACTATCTCGTTCGCAACTTGCAACACTAAATAAATAAGGGCACTTCGGTGATTTAGTCCTACTTTTGGACCCAATAAAAATACGAGTACAATCTAAAGAGAGCTAGTCATTGGTTCGTGATCCAAATACGGGAAGGATCAAATTATAATGCTGGTTAACCGAGGGTCACTTAATCTCTCTCTCACCATGTTTGATTATGACTAGAGTTGGCAACGGGTAGGGCTGGGTTCGAGTCTGGCCGGATCTAGACCCTGCCGGCCGGGTTTAGACCCGGATTTGGATCGGGTTTATCCCTCGGGTCTCAAATAGGATCCGGATCCATTGCCACCCTAGTTAGGAACCTGTAACTGAAGCTTTCTCAAGGGCGGCAATGGGCCAGGTGGCTCAAAAAAGTTGGGCTTAGGCGACATATTGTGACCCAAGGGGTGGGCTAGGCCAGTACTGGCCAGATTCGTCCTGGCCCTCTTTTTTTCCTTGTTTTTTATTTATTTATTTTTTACCTACCCCAATCTGGCCCAATTTTTTTTTTTTTAACGGTAACGTATTATTTATTATTAATTGATATGTAAAATGCAAGATGTTCAAGTAATGTCACAATATCACAGAAAAGAATTAACCAACAAAGAGGGAGTACGGACTCCTCATTTAGCAAGAACATCGACCTTTTCATTTGCCTCTCTATAACAATGATTGTCCGTTGCCATAGAGGTAGGCAAAATATCAAAAATTTAATGAAAATTAGTCCTTATTCTCCAAGGGATTTTGATCTTTCCGTTATTTCAAGTAATGACATTTCCCGAGCCTTATTTGATAATCTTGTCACCTTCCAAAGTGCATAGCAATTTCAAACCTGATAATAACCTCGTGCTTCCGCCTCATTTGCTGTTGTGATGCCACAAGGATTGGAGAAGGCTAACCCAAATAGATCTCCAAAGGATAATTCCCATCTTTGAAATATCGAGTGTGATCCATTGGTTAATAAGCGCTCTGACATTTTGGGGCAAAGGTAATGACAGATTGAGACACTGGCGAGCCCAATTCTAAAAATAAGTAACAAAAGGCCATGATAGGAAAAGATGTTGTGAAGTTTCATCACTTGCTTTGCACATGATACATACATTGGTGATAATAAACCCCCTCTTTATTAAGTTGTCAACAATTGCTAAATTATTTTGACACAGGATCCATAAGAATAACTGTGCTTTAAGAGGTACATGCGATTTATTAATCTTGAATAAATCAGCATCTAATTCTCTCCAACGATAAGAAAATAATAGGTTGTAGGTTGGCTTAACCGAAAGTCTCCCGAAGCTGTAAGATCCCAAATAAAGCAATCATCTATATTTGGAGTCAAATATGTATCATTCTATAATTTTAATAATGTTTGATACTCCTCGATGAATCTGTTTGTACCTCTTATGTACCTACAAGGAATGGACTAAACAATATTAGTATAAGCACCCTCACTAGCCTCCTTTACAAATGCTAGTGGGTTTAAAGCTTTTGAGAAAACTCGGGAAAAATGTATCTTAAATGTTCATCTCCAATCCATTTGTCAAGCCAAAAGAGAGTGGATTTTCTATTTCCCACTATTTTTTGAAATTGTCATAGATACACAGGTCTTTCAAAGTCAATACCTTTCCAAACATGGGACAAACTTATCTTGTTTCTTGGACTTTTAATGCAGCTAAAGTTCAAATCCATTCCATATTTTTCCCTCAGAACAAGCACCCAAAAAGACTTAGGTTGTGTATAGATCTTCCATCACCATTTTACTAACAGCACTGAGTTCATATGTTTTAGTCTCCTAACACCCAATCCCCCCTCATTCATTGGTCTACAAACTTTTTCCCAACTCACCAGATGAAATCTCATAATTCTTATGTCATCTCCCCACAATAAATTTATCATAATTCTCTCCAGTTGTTTTTCAACTTCTTTTTGCATATTAAATAAAGACATAAAATATACTGGGAGGTTAAACAAAGTGGATTTAATCAATATCTTCTCCCATATAAATAGTTTTAGCTTTCAAAGTGTCTAGTTTTTCTCAAATCTCTCTACCACCGAATCTGAAATTGATCTTGAAGACATCGAATCCACTAGGGGAATTCCCAAATAAGTTTATGGTAAGGACTCAAAACCACAACCTAATAAATGTGTCATTCTTGATACTACCATTTGCGGACAACCAATATCAATGAGCTTGGTTTTACTCAAAACTTTAAGTCCAGTTAAGAGTTCCACGCTTTTCAAGAAAATCCATAGGTAAGTGATTTTAGTAACCGTGAGATCACGAAATATAATGGTATCATCAACATACTATATAAATGTGATACACTAAGACCATTATTACCAATATTATTATATGCCTTCTAAAAGTTTAGCTTACAAATAAGGCATGGTTTATCATCCCTGATTTTTGAATGAATACATTATTGTGCGACAAAAATACTATCCATAATTTGCTTATCATTCAAGAATGCTGATTGTGGTCCTTTAATAACCATGTGAATCACCTGGCGCAATCTATTAGCTAAAATCTTTGCAATGATTTTATAAAGACTGCCAATAAGACTAATAGGCCGAATATCTTTGATATTCGCAATGACATGTTTCTCTGGGATTAAAGCAATAAAAATAGAATTCATGGAAATATTAATTTTACCCCTCAAATAATTGAAGAATATCATATTTGATTTGGGTCAATTTTAACCTTCCATTCAAAATGGACAGTTGGATATGGGGAATCATATAAGTTTTATGTTGTAGAGGAAGCATATAAAGCTTGCTACTCAAATATAAAAGCATAGACCAGATATCATAGAGATCAGTATGAAAGATAATATAGAAAGCATGTTCTGTATTCTCAACATACGAGGGTGCTATCTCACTTGGCTTGGAGTGGTGCCAAATTACTTATGGGATTGTCTACAAAGAGACCATTTATCTTTTGTACAAGGATGTCACAACTATTCCCACTCATTAGATGTCAAATTGGATGGTTTGTAAAGAGTCATGAAGACTAAGAAAAATCTTTTTGTTTTGAGTTTTGTTTTAATCAATTATACTCTTACAACCACCAATTTTGAAATCTAAGGGACAATAATGATTGTGATATCCTTGTACAAAAAGTAAATGGTCTATTTGTAAACAATCCCATTACTTAAAATGTGCACCTTATACTATAAAGTAACGTGCAACTAGAAAGCCCACCATAAAAGATTGTTTGCCACTAAGAAACGCTTTAGTCAATAATTTTGGCCTTGAGTTGTAAGGATATATATATATATATATATATATTTATTTATTTATTTATTTATTTTTAAATATTTTATTTATTAAAAATAACACATCTTGTAATACATTATCAAGACCGGCTATTTTCAGTATTTTTACATGTTTGTAAATATACCAATTTTACACTATTTTTGAAGCTTTAAATTTCATTACCATCGTCATCATACGAGCCTTATCCCAAATATTTGGGGCCAGCTACAGGTATCTTGTATTCAATACTGTTCTATCGACATCTATAGCCTCAGTCAAACCCTAAGTGACCATTATATCATTGTGGCTTATCGCTTCTAGAAAATAGTCATAACTTTGCTCATTTCTCACTGCACCCTAGTAAAATTCATAGCAAGGTAGAAAAAAGATTATTAGGTATTGTGTTGCCAAAACTTCATCTTTTGAGAAGGTGAAGGTGCTCACTACCTTGATTAATTATGGTCAATGTCTCGTGAAAATTGGGATGTCTAAACCAAATTACTTAAAACGGTCACTCAGTGAAAATCTATTAAATAATGGGCGTGGTTTGTATAGAGCCTAGGCTCCAAACAATCAAATTAGAGCCTACTTTCAAATAGCATTGAGAAATGTGGTTTTAATATTGGAAATCTTTGTGATACCCTTAAAATATATTTTTCATGCTTATTTATAGAATACATTATTTCTAAAACTTGCCATCTATTTTTTTTCTCATGTTCAAGCATCTTGATATCAAAATGATCAATTTGAAGATATTTGAGCATCAAAACAACGTCTTCTAGTAAAAAATTTGAGGTACGTTTCAAATTTGATTGTTTAGAACCTTTTGACTCTATATAAACTTTTCCTTTTAATAATAATGGTAATTTGGCGTGGAAACGGACAAGGCTTGTCTTAGCCCAACCAGGCCCGAGCTATGGCCCGTTGCGGCCTGGCATGGGCCAAAGGGGTAGGCTATATTTGAGTTGATATTACATTTCGGTAGACAGTAGATGGTGGCATATCCTTGCCTGTAATTCCTCTTCTAGGGTAGTTGTGGATCATTCGAAGAAGATGAATTTTGCCTTAATTTCAGTTCAAAATTTTATTATTCGAGAGCTTTAGCTTGCCCTAAAACCCGTTTCAACTGGTTTTCATGGCCCAGTTATTCCCAATCCTGGAGCTTGATCTTCAAGCAGTACAAATTGGGGGATTAATCGTTTTACAGTCATGGTTTTGCCGGGAAAGCCACCGTAAAAGGAGTTTCCGGCCATTGAGTCATCAAGGTACCATATCCTGAGCTGCTCGTTAGTTGCACTGGCTTTCCATGAACTTCGATACCTAGGATTTTTTTTTTTCTCTATATTAAATTTCAACATTGATTCAGATGATTACTATTAGTGGATTTTATAACCCTTCTGGGATTAATGATGACATTTTCATAATGAAAAACCTGATTTTGCAGTGTCATTTTTAATGGGTTTTATTTGAGAAAGTGTTTCTCTGAAGGAACACCATGCAAAAGAGAGGAAAGCTATGTTTAGGATTAATCAGGGTTTTTCAGTCTCATTCTACGGCAGCAATTGAATCCCATGGCTCCATCAAGAGCCCACATTCTTGTTCCCCTTCATTTTCTCGCCCTCTCTCCATTTTGTATTCAAACCACTTTAGAAATTTAGGCATACAAACGCATCAGAATCCTTGTAATGCAGCTCCATCCTTTATTTCAGGTTTCTGTTCTTTCTCTTTGAATGGAATTCTCCATGAATCTGATAATGTTTGTGAATCTATACCTGTAAATGATGACCATGCCGAAATTTCTAGTGACTGCATTAGGGTTTGTGAGGCTATAATAGAATCGAATAACACTGATAAGGGCATGGAAACTGCACTAGAATCACTTGGCATACAAATGAACAGAGAACTAGTAGAACAGGTGTTGCACAGGTTCCAATATGAGGAGAAATTAGCGTTTCGGTTCTTTTCTTGGGCTGGTAAACAAGATGGTTATACGCATCAACCCCAAACCTATAATGAGATGATGGATATTCTTTCTAGCACAAAGTACAAAACTAGACAATATCGCATTCTCTGCGATCTATTGGAATATATGAAGAGAAAGAAGAGGGAAAAGGTACCCATTGATGTGCTTTTTGCTATATTGAGGCAATATGCGGAGAAGAATCTCAATTCTCTTAAGAAGTTTGCAAAGAAGAAGAGAATTAGAGTGAGAACCCAACCTGAAATCAATGGGTTCAACTTGCTTTTAGATGCTCTTTGCAAATGTGGTTTGGTCGAAGAGGCTGAATCGATGTTTAGGCAATTGAAACCCAAGCTGAACCCTGATGGGAAAACTTACAATATTATCTTTTTTGGTTGGTGTAGAGTGAAAAAACCAATAAAAGCAATGCAAGTTTTGGATGAAATGATTGGAATGGGTTTTACCCCAGAAAACTTCACATACAACACTGCAATTGGCACGTTTTGCAGGGCTGGGATGGTATCTGAGGCAACCCATTTATTTGAATTTATGAGAACTAAAGGCTCTACTGTATCTTCTCCCACTGCACAGACTTATTGTATCATGATAGTAGCTTTAGCAAAGGCCAATAGAATGGATGAATGCCTTAAGATTCTATCAGATATGAGAAATAGTGGGTGCCTTCCTGATGTTTCCACTTATTTAGAGCTTATCGAAGGCATGTGTGAGGCTGGGAAACTAGAAGAAGCTTACAGATTCATGGATGAGATGGGAGATAAGGGTTACCCACCTGATATTGTCACTTATAATTGCATCTTTAAGGTTCTCTGTAACCTTAAAAATGTTGATGAAATAAACAGGCTCTTCAACCGGTTGCTTGAAGTCGGTATTTTGCCCAGCGTTCACACTTACAATATGCTAATCAAATTGTTCTTTGACGTGGGTGAACCCAATAGGGCATTCCTAATGTGGGATGATATGGATGAGAAGGGATGCCCAAGAGATATCGACACTTACTGCACTATGATTGAGGGGTTATTCAATAGTAATAGATTAGAGGATGCATGTGCGTTTTTAGAAGAAATTGTGGACAAGGGAATGAAGCTCCCATATCAGAAATTTGATACTTTTCTGAAGAGACTTTCGGGAGCTGGTGATCTTCGTACTATTTATAGGCTTTCTGATCATATGAGGAGGTTTTATAACCCTGCCATGGCAAGGCGTTGTGTTAGGTCTCAGAAGTGGACGAGCTTGAGCTTGAGGAGGAAGTGAACTCATACAAACAGCATCCATTATTGCTCAGTTTTGTACACTGGTTCATTTGATTTGTATCCTAATATTTACTTTTTTTCTTTAATGCACAAGCTCAGGTTATATGCACCTTGTTGTATACTTGGTCTTCAAATTTGGATGGCAATTCAAATTCAAGTTTTCTAAAAAAGGAATGGTGAGTTTATTGTTTATTTCCAATCCATGCATTCTGTTTATGTTAAAAAATATATCCAATTGTGGTTGTCTTTTTTTTTTTTTTTTAAAAAAATTAAATAAAAAATATTTATCATGGAATTGGGAGCAATGCAAGTTCTCTTGAGGATTTACACAGCCTGATATGTGGTTTTGTAAATCTATTACATAACAATGCAAAGGGTTCATAACATGATTACTTCCAAATTCTGCATATAACAAATTTAAATTGCAGACGCAGGTTAATAGCAGGTAGTAGTATCTTGAACTTACCCTGAACTACTACTCAGAAATGTCAAATCGATACCCTGCAAAGGTAGGAAACTTATGGAGAAAACCACAGCTTTCGAAGACGATGATTACCATACACAATCCAAAAGTGGCAGACATGACTTGAGACATAGGGAAGAAAACTGGTTTGTTAAAACTCAAATCGCATTTCGTTCTATACTGCTACATGGGAACCATGTAAATACAGAATGTGAAATGTGACTAAGAGAGTATCAGATCGTGAAGTTGGAGTATATGGATCGTATGGATCTTCAACCAGAACTGCTCTTTGGCTTTTTTGATTGCTTTCGCACTCTTTTTAGAAAAAAAGAAAAAAAAATTAGGACCATATACTATGATATGTCGGGTCATATTGACATTATGCCTTGGGCTTATCACCGTCCATCAATGTGTGTTGGATGGTATTGGACGGGAATGGTCTTGCTGATAAGTTCATTGACTCATATGTTTACCCCTCTCTCCATGACTGTCCAACCCATTGTTTGGATGGTGGTGATCCACATGGTCATGTTCTTTAGAGAGCTTATAGCATGGTGACTACATTTTAGGAAAAATTCATATAGAACCCTAATTCCACATATTATTTTGTGGTAGACCTTCCTTTTGTTTTCTTTTCAAGCGGTTTAAGAAAACTTCTAAAGATTTCACCGTACCCTCTCATATCTTATCTCTCGCTTTTATTGATTTTTTCATCATAAAAATTAGCTCCAACAACTCCTTTTATAGCATTTCAACTTGAGAACTTTTTTAATAGGTGGAAAGGTAAAAAAAAGGTTAAATGACGAGGGGTACGGTGAAATCTTTGGGGATTTCTTATGCCGCTTGAAAGAAAAGCGGATAGAGGGTTTAACATGAATTAATACGAGAAATTAGGGTTCTATAAGATATTTTTCATACATTTTATCAGATATTTTCTTAATATTTGAGGCTGGTGATTTCCCAAATGGATCTATGTCAAAGAATATAAGGATATTGAGGGATCCATGTCAAAGGATGTTGAAATGGATGAGTGGTAGGATAAGAAGAGATAGAATTCGAAATAACTTAGGTGTGATATCAATAGGCAATAAAATGAGAGAAAGTACACATAGATGGGCTGGCCATGTGTAGTACAAATAGAACACATGTTAGGAGGTACGAGTAAGTTCAAATGGAAGGCTAAAAAAAGATAAGAGGTAGGCATAAAAAGACATAATTGGAAGTAGTGAGAAAATAATATGGGGACTTATAGTTAAAAAAGGGTAAGGGGTAGGCATAAAAAGACATGATTGGAAGTAGTGAGAAAATAATATAGGGGCTTTTGGCTTCAATGAGGGTACGACCTTTGATAGAGCAAAATGACATACCATGATCAGATGATGACAATCTACGTCAAAAAACAATTGTATATTTATTTTTTGTATGGAACTTTTTCTCTATCGTCCTATTCCCCTTTGTATTTTAGTTGCGTAGTAAAAATGGTTCAGGGCGAAAAGCAATAATTGGATGCATGTTTTTTATGTATTATGAAGAAACGGTTTTGGAAGATGGGGTATTTTGTTTGGGGAAGGATCCCATGAGCCATGCTTCTTTGGGTTTGAAATCTAGGAATGAGCATTAATCAGATCTAAGAGCCAGGCTTATTGGAACCCAAGCAGGATTATTCTCCATTCTATGTAGAAAAAAAAATTACATGAGCCCATGGCTCTTTTTGGTTTTTTTTTTTTGGACAAGTTAATGGTGGGAATGGGCGGTGGGACGTTATGTTGAGGCTCCTGCCCTCAACCTCGAACCTTACTGCATCGTAAGCCCAGCTTATATTGCATCATATGCAATTGGAGTTACGAGGGTTTGTTCGACCACAAAAATTTGTTGAGTGCATCTTATCGGGATGATGAAAAAGAATAAAAAAAAAAAAAATGAACAAAGACATTGGACAAAAAACAAAAAAAAATGAGTCCCATTATTTTTAGTGAATGCAAGCCTTCTCTTTGATAGACAGTGGGATTAGGACTTCAAGGATACCAAATTAATGTTTTTTTTCCCTTTATAGAATCAATTATGTGCAAATATTCAGCCCAAAAAATCGGTCTAGCTATGTATTATAGAGAATAGATCTAACTATGTATTTTTTAAGTTTTTTGGTTCAGGACTTCAACATTTGGTTCGTCTTACTTTTCTTGGACCTGTAATGTTCTTTGGCCCTTTTGTTTCTTTTTATGAGGTGAGCAAGCACTCTAAAGCCTCATTTGGGAAAGAGGAATCCTACCCTTTCTCCTTGGACTTTCAAAATCCAAGATTTTATATTTTCGCAACATATAATTCATCAAATATTGAAATTCAAAAATTCAAGATTCTTGCTTTTCTCCTACCCAAACGGGCAGTGGATTGTATACCATGTATATATTACCATGTTGTATTATTTACGGATTTGTATATGTAATTATTTTTGATATAACGAGGTCAAAATAATTGAAAAAAAAGTTTATACAACAATAGATTTTTAAGCCATCATAAGGTTTCTAACGCTCGAATTATATCTCAAGACAAATTTTAGAGGTGTGACTTACTTCTACAGTATAAAAAGGGCGCCTCATACAAACCTCAAAACAACAATTACTGACCCAGAGGTGGCTGGTATGTCTCGTGAATTGTACATAAAATTCAAAAAATTATTGTTTGAATATTGAAATGCTCTTTATTCGAACAGATTTTATATTCAATGGTTAAAAATAGTTGTAAACTGTTTATATTAAAATAATAATAATAATTTTTCTTAACAAAAAAATAATAATAATCTTATAATAAACAATCTCATTTACCCGATGTTGTTAGTTCGCCTCAATCGCAGACGGTGGCAATGAATTATTCCTCCTTTTGAGTGAACAATAGACGATAATTCATCTATACCATCGATCGCTAAAACTAGATGGTAGAGATTTACATATTGTGTATAAACAATGTTAAACTTGGGTTATCACAAATTGAAAAAGGAAATAGAGATGATGACAGAGATCATACTGACAAACAAAAGAATTCCGTACGGGTACACTTATTTGTACAAAAAATGCGTTCTACTTGATTGTTTATTTTTTCCTTTAGATCGATCCAAGGGTTTTTTCGTATGGTATATAGACTTATTACAGGATTGATTAAGAGGTACGAGTTGGTTCAGGTATAAAGTTTAAATAGGGTGGGAAGTAGTGAGAAAATATATTGCTTTGGTTTGGAGGTCTTATCCATAGTTAACAAATCGCCGATTTTTTAAAAAATTTGGCATTTTTTTTAAAAACGTTTAAAACAACATTTCTTTGAAAAGTTTGTCAAAAAAATCACGTTTTTTTCATTAAAACATTAAAAACTTGTTTTTTTGGAAAACAAATTAAACGGGCAAAACGCATTTTTACTTGTATTTTTTTTAAATGAGAAAAAAAAATCTTGATATGTATAATTTCTAAAATAACATATTATTTATATAAAAAAAAATCCTAATAGAGAAAACCCCTATTCCTACAAATTTCATAATCTTCATGTGTCTGAAAAAAAGCATTATTTCCATCAACAAACCTAATATTCATGTTCCTGCAAATTTCATAATCTTCATGCTCCTGAAAACCCCCATCCCCAAGAACCCCATTTGATTTTCTCTCTCTAACAGAGAAAACCCCCATACTCAATTTTGAGCTTTTTCCAAACTCACAAAGCAAAACCCCCATCCCCTATTTTGAAGAAGCATGCCCTGTTTTCAATGAAACGCAGGCCTTCCAAAAACCTTGCTATTCTATCGAGCTTCCTTATCAGTGATATCAGGGGAGAAGAGAGTTCTATCGAGCTTCTTCCTGTTCTCAGGTCTTCCAAAGCCTTGCTCCATCTTTTTCCCAAAAGTCTTCAAGCTCACAAATGGTTTTGAAGAAGTGGTTTTCAATGAAAACAACTATATAAAGTATAAAGCGACATTTATATTAACCATAATTATAAGTGACTTAACCATGGTTAAAGTATTTAATGATAAAAAAAAAAATTGTACATTTTTTTGGGTATATTGATATTTGCTAAAGTATTTAAGTAGATTTGGATTTTTAAAGTAGATTTTAGATATATTGATATTTAAGTAGATTTGATATTTGTTGATATTTAATTGTACTTTTTTTTTTTTTTTTTTTTGCGCACGGTGATATTTAAGTATATTTGATATTAGTTGAGGCATTCAATGTGAAGATTTATATGGTGTATGTTGGGTATGTTGATATTTAAATAGATTTGATATTTATATAAAAAAAAAATTGTGCATTTTTTTGAGTATGTTGATATTTAAGTAGATTTGATATTTGTTGAAGTATTTAATGTAAAAATTTATATGGTGTACTTTTTTATTTTTTTTAGTAGTTGTGATCTCTGTTAAATTATTTAATGTGAAAATTTATATCGTGTTATTTTTTTTTTTGGTATGAAGTAGTTGTGACCTTTGTTAACTTATCCGATTTTTTTAGCCTAGTCCGATATATTGACGATATCTTTACATGAAGTATTTTTGCCGATCCGTATTTTTTATCCGATTTTTTCATCCTACTTTTTAAAATAAAATAATTTTTTCTTGATTTTAAAATAAGCCGATTTATTGAAAATCCCTGATTTGCTAACTATGATCTCATCACGCTTACGGTTGCCCCTCATCCCCAGCCCTTTAATGC